AAAGCAATGGGTCTTTTCTCTTGGGACAATACCGCCCATATGCTAACTCTACTGGCATCACATTCTACTTCAAATAATTTATCAAAATCTGGCAAGGCAAGAACATGAGCAGTACATCATTTTTCCTTTATGAGAGCAAAACTTTGCTCTTGTTCTTCTCTCCATTGAAATTTACCCTTTTTCAAACACTCAGTAATGGGAGCCATGATACTACTAAAATTTTTAATAAAACACCTATAGAAGGTTGCCAACCCATGAAATCGCYTGACATCTGTGACAGTGGATGGGGTCGGCCACTCCCTAATGGCTTTCACTTTTTCCTCATCTACTTTCACACCATCCTTGCTTATAATAAATCACAAGAATAATAATTTATCATTCATAAAGATGCATTTCTTCAAATTAGCATATAATTTATTTTCCCTCAACGTTTTCAGGACCTCCCTAATATATCCCACATGCTCAGTGATAGTTGTGCTGTATATCAAAATATCATCAAAATAGACTACTACAAAGTTACTAATGAAAGGGCGCAATACCTGGTTCATCAGCCTCATGAATGTGCTGGGTGCATTGGTTAGTCCAAAGGGCATGACTAACCATTCGAACAAGCCATCTATAGTCTTGAAGGTTGTCTTCCATTCATCTCCGGGACGGATCCTGATCTGATGATATCCACTCCTGAGATCTATTTTTGAAAAAACTATAGTTCTACTGAGTTGATCCAGCATGTCGTCCAACCTAGGAATGGGGAATTTGTACCTAATAGTAATTTTGTTAATGGCCCTGCTATCGACACACATTCTCCAACTGCCATCCTTTTTAGGTGTTAATAAGGCAGGTACTACACAACGACTCATGCTGATTTGAATGTGCCTATTTTTCAATAATTCTTCTACCTTTTCCCGTAAGATTTCATTCTCCTTAGGACTCATCCTGTAATGTGGGAGGTTAGGTAGGCTGGCACCTGGAACAAAATCAATATGGTGTTGTATATCTCTCATAGGAGGGAGCTCATTTGGTAATTCCTTTGAAACTACATCATTGAATTCATCCAGTAGTCCCTGTACTTCTGTTGGAATTTTATTTTCATCATTAACACCTTCTCCTTTTACTACTAACAAATGTACCTCATGAGTATCCTTACATTCTTTAATAAATTCAGCATGATGATGGGTGATGGTAAGGAAATTCTTCTCATGTGCCTTCGGAGCATTTGTAATATTTTTTTTTCAGCTATGGGTAACAAAGTATAACGTGTACCCTCTTTTTCAAGTTGGTAGGTATTTTTCCTACCCATGTGCCTTGCATCTGTATCAAATTGCCAAGGCCTCCCTAACAAAATATGGCAAGCATCCATATCTACAATATCACAATATACTTCATCATGGTACTTACCAATAGAAAAAGGTACATTGCAGCGTTCTTCCACTCGTATGCCGCCTCCTTCCTTGATCCACCTAATTGTGTATCGGTTGGGATGTTTTTCAGGAATCAGCTGTAATTGTTGGATGACATCCCTGCAAATAATATTTTCTTGACTGCCACTATCAATAATTAAATTAAATAATTTTCCCTTGACAGTACATCTGGTACGRAATAATCTGTGCCTTTGAGAAGTATCATTATTTTTCTGGGACAACATTAATTTTCTTACCACACAAGTATACTCCTCATGTTCATGGACCCTTTTCATCATTTCCATCAGGTCCACAATATACTTCCTCCTCAATATCTTCTTCCTCCTCTCTTTCTACCATATTAACTGCCTTCCTCCTAGGACAGTCACTAGATCTATGTCCCACCTCATTACATTTAAAACATTTAATAGGAGCAGGCCTTGCATAAGGGTTACTGGGTTTAGGAGGGTTGGAAGGATTACCTTGAGTATGTCCTCCTGTAGTATCCTTACCAGCGTTACTTGTGCTTGCCGGGTGAGAAGGTTGTACTGCCGGGACTGATTTGTTTCTGTCGACAGTTGCCGATCTGTTGTCGCTCCCACTGTACCGGTGATAATTATCACTGTGTGCCTTGTCTTGGAACATTAATTCTGCTTTCAAAGCTAGGTTCCTTGCTTCTTGCACACTGAGAACTATCTATACACCAATTTTGTCCCTGATGGACGGCCTCAACCCGTTCAGATAACGGGCTGCCTGCTGGTTATCGCTTTCAAACAACTGGTTTCTTTCTGCTAATCTTAAAAATTCTGATGTGTACTCATTAACACTACGTGAACCCTGCGCACACCTCTGATAAGATTCAAACATATATTGTTCATARTCAGGAGGTAAAAATCTACCTCTGATTAATTGTTTCATGCGCCTCCAGGTTCGAACAGAACCCCTTCCTTCTCTCATTCGGGTCTCTCTCATCCGTTCCCACCAAATAGATGTGCCTCCCTTTAATCGGAAAGCTACCAGTTTTACCCTTCGTTCCTCTGGTATCTCCATGTAATCAAAAAACCTATAAAGCTACCAGTTTTACCTTTCGTTCCTCTGGTATCTCCATGTAATCAAAGAATCTATCAACTTCTGTGATCCAATCCAGAAGTCCCTATATGCCAAGATCTCCACTAAAAGTAGGAATATCTACCTTGAGTTTAAATTCATCATTATTCCTACGGGGATTGAGAACTGGAGCACCACCAAATTCAAAATCATCATCACTGTTATCGTCAAGAATTGGACGTCGGGACGCAATAACGACAGGTGGTCTATCGTGGATGTCTCCTTCGATCTGCTGTGGATTTTCCCGGTTCCGTGGGATAACCTCCCGTAACAAGGTTTGCAGTTGCTCAGTCACCTCTGCCAACTGTCGTTCGCTGTTACGTGTGGCTGTACGCTATTCTTCAATTGCTCTCCAAACAGCTGGAAACCCCTGATCTCCGTCACGGGGTGGGTTGCGACTGCTACCGTCTGGGTTGGACATGACTGGGCGAATTCCCTACTCTGATACCACCTGACGCAGTGTGGAAGCAATGGAAAACCGGAGCTGGCTATGCAAGCACCGGGCGAACCTAGTTTCTAGCGAAACTACACGATTTCTCTAGGAGAGAGAAAAGGAGGCGAAAATTGAAGAGGAAATCTGAAGAAATTCTGAAGTATGAATTGATTAATAATTCTGGGAAATAGCAGTATTTATAATACATTGAGAAATTGTAAAAGAACTAGGAAAAGAAATTAAATTTGATCTAAACATCTCAAACTTGTAGATAGGATCAAACTCTTCTTGACATGATCTCCCCCGTCCGATCTCCCTTGATCTTATCCATGCATGAATCTTGGATTATCTAGAATTTTTGAATTCTTGATGAGTCTTGGATTCTTTGAATTCTTGATGAGTCTTGGATTCTTTGAATTCTTGATGAGTCTTTGAAGAGTCTTGGTCTATCTTGATTTCTTGGATCTTACTAATCTTGGATTCTTGGTTAGACTTATCCTTATCCTAGGAGCTGCCGCCCCTAGGGGTGAGATGGGCCTTGTGATGGGCCTCCATCAATATATATATATAAGGATAGAAATGTAATTTGAGCAACCACTTTTCTCCTCATTCAAATCTCTCTCATTAAGTCTTATGTTCAATGTATTAACTCTCACTATTTCGTTGAATCTTATATTAATTAACCATATTAAAGAAAAGTGAGTGTGATAAAAAATAATTGTTTTATTGGTGATAAAAATAAAATAGAAATTTAAAAATAACCCAAAAGTAGAGTTGTTTCCTTGTTTGATGGAGAGTTAACAGTTCAATCTTTGATATCATAGTTAAATAATAATAAACATTTAATACAAAATATGAAAACACAAAAAGTATAATAAATATAAAAAAAATTCATAGGGCACATCTCTAATATCAAATATTCATCATAGTGTGACAAATAAAAATAATTTTTATAGATATAGAAATATAAAGAAATTGTAAAAATTTTGGAACACATTATTTGTTAACATCATCATCATCATCACAAAAAATTTTGCAACAGATGTGCTTAATTACTAGTTACTTATAAAAGTGTGAATGGATCTTATTTTTAGGAATTTTCATTGGACATGATTTACCCCTTGATATTGAGCTATCATGGGGCAAATTTGTATTTTAATAAAAAACTTTAATTGAAACAATAAGCCAAATGAACAACATTTATGAATAGAAAATTTAAGACCTTGTTTATATATATATATAGAGAGAGAGAGAGAGAGAGAGAGCAACCACTTATCTCCTCATTCAAATCTCTCTCATTAAGTCTTATATTCAATGTATTAACTCTCACTATTTCATTGAATCTTGTATTAATTAACCATATTAAAGAGAAATGAGTGATAAAGAATAATTGTTTTATTGGTGATAGAAATAAAATAAAAATTTAAAAATAACCCAAAAGTAGAGTTGTTTCCTTGTTTTTGTTGGAGAGTTAACTGTTCAACCTTTGATATCATAGTTAAATAATAATAAACATTTAAAACAAAAGATGAAATCACAAAAAAGTATATTAAATATAAAAAAACTCATAGAAACCATTTGGACGCATCTCTAATATCAAATATTCATCATAGTGTGACAAATAAAAATAATTTTTATAGATATAGAAATATAAAAAAATTGTAAAAATTTTGGAACATATTATTTGTTAATATCATCGACATCATCACAAAAAATTGCCAGATGCAAAACATGTGCATACCTAAAGCCTATTAATAAAATATTATATTTAATAGCAAAATTATTGCATGTTTTCAAGACCGTACATTTGCATTAAATGTTCAAATCAAATAACAAAAACACCCAAGAGAAATTCCAGCTTGAGAATTATAGAAATGAAATAAATAAAAATTTAAACGGTAGAAGGATGTAGGCATGACATAATTATAAATAGAAAAACTCATTGCGGCAAATTTGAAATGAAAAAATATAACCATGAATGAAAGATCTTGTAACAAAGAATGTGAAACTGTTCTTTTTATTATAGGTATATGGATAAATATCAAGGTAACATGATTACATATAGACATTAGACCTTTATGCCTTTATTTAGAGCAAGCTCAAAGACTGTGAAACACGAGTGACAAATATTAAAATTGATTACAATTACCAAGTCCATGAAATGCACAAATGCACCAAAAAAAAAAAAACACGCAGATTCATGAGTTTTATTAGGAATCCCCTTAAACAACTTCAGCTATTACAAGTTCCTTACCTCTCAAATGAAGTGACAAAAAGGTCGTAGTTGTTCTTTTATACTATCATCTTGCCACATCAATGTTTTCCACCAATCTTCACTCCCTTCAATCAGCTTTAGCTTAGATGCATTGTCACCACTCAAGGGTAAATTCTTCAATTGCATGCACCTTTTGATCTCAATTCTTTCTAGAGATGGCCAATCCAATGTAATATCTTGACAAATTCTAGTCAACTTGGGTAGATCAAAAAGTTGTAAATTCTTCAACTTTGGAAGTAGTGCATTGGACTCTAGTATTTGGTTCTCTGCTTCAACAATAATCTCTTCAATCACAGAACAATTCTCTATTCTCAAATTTTGCAACTCAGAGAGTTTTGAAATCATGTTTCCCGAGAAGATCTTCTTTAACCTTGGACATTCATTTAGTACCAAAGTTGTCAACCTTGTAAGAGTTTTTGATTGCATAGAACCTTCGAAAATTTTCTCCAATTTTGGGAGGTTAATCAAGTATAATTTCTCCAGGAAAGGAAGTGCACTATCTTTGCCTGCATTGTCACCAATCAAGCTTTCCATATTGTTGCATTCCTTAATGAGACACATTTTCAACCTGTTCAATCTCCCTATGCCAAAATCTGATAATTTATGAATACTTTTATGACTAACTAGTTCAAATGCATAGGCTTGACTAAGAACCTCCGAAACTGCAGGAGGAGTTTCTTCTCCAGCTGAAAATATCAAACGCCGCTCCATTGGATATTCTGTGCTACTGTCATGCTTGTCATTGTAAGGACCCACATGAAATTTGAATGATCTGAAATTATTATTCTCCCATGATGTGCTATTTTGAATGAAAATCTCAAGACCCTCCGTTCTTGGAAAGGAGAAAAAGAGGGTACTTAATTGCTTCAAATTGGCCACTTCCTTTGCAACAACATTTACTATATGAGGATCCACATTGATTTTCAATTCTTCCAACAAAGAAAGCTTTGAGAATACATTTTGAGGAATCATCACCCTGTTCGAGTTCCCATTTGTATGATTGTGATTGGCAATACTAGTGAAGGATGCTCGGAAACACTTGAGGCCAGTTAATTCGCCAATTTCAATGGGCATGTCACTAATTCCAGTTTGGTCAATATCAAGGACCTCAAGACTTTTGAGTTCTATTAATTGGATTGGAAGTTCCACCAATTGTCTACAACAATATAAGTATAGCCCTCTGAGGTTTATCAAACTGGATACAGACGATGGTAGTGACTTGATTTTAGTTTCACTTAGGTCTAAAACTCTAAGGCTACACATATAACCAAAAAATGATTCAGGGATTGTGTTTAGATCAGAATTACTTCGCAAGAATAATGTTGAAATCATACAACAATCTGGTCTTTCTGGTAGAGTGCATAATTGAGTAGACATCAAGGAAATCCTTTTTGCATGTTTCCATTCTTCCTCTGTTGGAGGCTCTCTTATACCTGCTTTTACTAATAACCTAGCACCTTCTCTATTAAGGGATGTGATTCTTAGTGCTGGACCTCTGAATAGCATGGGCATCTTAACACATTCTACTTTGTCGCTTCTCTCTAGTAAACATCCATCTAGGAGATCCTTTAGTATAGCTGTTCCATTCTCACGTGCCTCCCTCAAATTACCTGCACGACTAATAAAGCCTTCGTTGTTCCAACACTCCATCAAATAACTTGTGTCAATATCATGGTCTTCAGGATACAGTGCTTCATATAGAAGGCAATTCCTTCTATCATCATCACTTAACTGTTCATAACCAAGTTTGAAGGTCTTGAGTACCTCTTCCCAATGCTCCATCTTAGAGAAACTTGGACATTGCAACTGCCTTAATGTATGCCTCCATAAATCTTGATTGTTATTTTTCCTCAAGATAACTGCTACAACCGAAATCATCTGCGGTAGTCCACCACACTCCTTAACCAACAATTTAGCCAATGGTTCCATGTCTGGATGATCAACAATTTCACTACCCACTTTTTCCCTAAACATCTTCCATGCATCATCCTTAGACAACCTCTGTACCTTAATTTCTTCATCGGTTTCCATTTTATGACAAACATTTTTGTTTCTAGTTGCCAATACCACCTTGCCACCACTATGGTTTTTCCGGATGCCTATATCATGTAAATTTACCACTGAAGTGACCTCATCAAGAAGCAACAAATACTTCTTGGCCTGCAATTCTTCAGAAATAATTGTTGCAACTTGATCAATGCTGCCTTCCACATGTAATTTTAACCGTTGCACAACTTCCTTTTGCAATTGAAATTCTCTTACACCTGACTCTTTTGATACGGTCACCCAAATAACAATGTCAAACATTTTGTTTAGGTCTCCAGCATCATTCAAGTTTTTCATTATTGTAGTTTTTCCAACTCCTGGCATTCCCCAAATTCCAATTCTTTTTATGCTTTCATCTCTTAGGTATTTCAATATCTCCTGAAGGACCCCATCATGTGATGGTATATCTTGTACACTTTGCACATGCTTCTTCTCAACTGTTCTCCTTTCTCTCTCAGTCAGTACGCCATTTCCAAGGATGCCTTCAATTTTTAGATCATAAAGAATGTTTGCCATATCTTCAAGATCTTTGCTGAGTTTGAAGAGCGACCAAAATGGACACCATCCACATAGACATTTACGGGCCTTATCATATCTTATCTTTAGAATGGTAACTTGCTTTTCAACATCCTCCACTTTCTTAAGCCAGGCTTCACATTCTTTTGTAGGAGTCTTTTGAACTGCATTTGTACTGATATCATTCTTTACATCATCTCTCCTATTAAAAAGGTCACATGCTTTGTCTTCAAATTTGCGGAAATTCTTGTCAATGTTTTTGACATGACCAAATTGGTGAATAATATACTGAAAAACACTTTTTCCAGCTTCTAAAGCTAGAGAAGTGGCACCCCCAGCTATTGCAGCATCCATCTTTATGTATTCTGCAAAACCAAAGAAACAGTAAAATGTAAAGAAAATGGTTCTTTTTTTTTATTTCTGTAATGAGAAGTAACTGAACTGCTCACCATAACAACAAAAATAAAACTAAATGACTCAACTCTTTCTGTGTTAAGAAAATAAAAATGAAACAAGATACAAAGCCAGAAAATTTAAGAAACTAGTTGGTCGACCAGCAAATAGATGTCTACCTGAAAAGAGAGAAACACAAAAAAAAGCAACATCTGGATGATTATTAACATCCAAACAATCAAATACTCTTTTCATTGTTAAATATATATACTTAAAAGATCAATAATGTTCATTTTAAACAGATAGGGGTACCTTTAATTTCCTATCAACCAGTACCATCATTGGCTGCCACCTGTAAGATTTTCTACATCAAAGGTCATCTAATTTGAAGGATCCTAATAATCCAGTCACTTAGAAATTCTTTAACAGACTACAGTAAGCTCTGGTGTGATCCCGTGAATTCAATAATCTAGAGACAGAATTTATCCTCCTTTCTCTTTATAATAAAGAGAATAAGGTGCCAACATAAGAAATAAACTGGGCCTGAGTTAAGCCCAATAATGAAGGGAAAAATAACATACAGACCAAATAACTAAAATCTGTATAGTCAAATAATACATATATTAAGGGGGTTTTGCAAATGTGTGTGGTTTCCTTTTCGAAAACATAGGCAACTGATACAAGAGCTAAAGGGTAGTAGACATTCTGTTATAAGTTCCCTTTAGCTCTGCTTCAAATGGAGAGTGCTAGGGCTTAGATCACATTGAGTCAGACAAGAGAGTGTTTCTGAATGATGAGGGTAAGTTTGATGATGGGCCTTGATCATATTGATCAGCTAGTTGGAGGCAGAGGAGGTTGAAGGGTTCAGTCCGGCTGGTGGTGAGATCTTGACATCTGAGAGAACTTACAAACCATATCTGGTGATTTCTGAGTTGGAGGAAGAGTGTGCTGGTGGTGAAGATGCCAAGATTAGTTCATCTTTAGTGAGTACTGATGATGTGGAAGAATCCCAGATAAATTCAATAGGGTTAATGTTAGCATCAGAGGCATTGTCCATAACAGAGATGTCAAATCACAAGATAACAAATCATAGACAGGGATCTTGTTCAAAACTGCAAATGCAGGGAGTTGAGGGTTGTTATGTCTTGTCCTTTATGTGATTTAAGAGATCCCATGATGACCAACACCATGATGCCTAGCATCTGCCATAAGAAGGTTGAGTTGGACTTAGAAATCCCAGTTGACACCATTGGGGGGGGGGGGGGCAAGGAGTTATTCTTTCTTCACATAACTATAACAAAAAGATAGAGAGGCTAATGGTAGATGAGAGAGACTCTACATTTAATCAAGTGGGAGGTGGTAATCAAAAGACATTAGAGAGCAAGATTGTGTAGAGGCAAGAAATGACTGGTGAAATCTGGATGGTAGTGGGCTGTGGGGGTTAGGATGTGGCAGAAGGTTGACTGCTAAGGTAAATAGATGGCCTTGTTGTTTAGAGAGATTGTGGGGGACAATGGATGAGATTTTGTAGCCCAACCCTTCTTGTCATTGGTTGTTTGAGTTAGTAAGGTATATTTTGTTTTGTCATCTTCAACATGTTGGTGGTTTGGCAAGGTGTTGTTTTTTCAGTTTTAGTAGTTGAAGCTGATGTGTTTGAACACTTTGTATAGGGTGTAGGTTTGGTAGGGGGCATCTTTTCTGCTCTATTTGCTGCTCCTTTTCTTGGTATCCATTCTCTCAGCTTTTCTCCTTTGTTTTGCTTGGGACATAAAGCCAGTATATGTCTTGTATACTTTCCTTATATCCTTCAATAGATGTTCTACTATAAAAGGACATCAAAGCATTTTTTAAGTAGATGGCAACTAAATAGAAACTGAAAAAATGTATACAAGAAGTATACAGGTCAAAACTCCACAATAAAAGAAAAGGAAGCAGTGAACTCAAAAAGGACCAAGTCTTTTTCAACAACCCATACCAGCCACAGTACAAAAAGGCACCAAAACTCCAACCAAGCCGCCCTAAACCAAATTCTGTACAAGCTACCAAGAAAAAATCTGGTATTACCTAACTGAGAACCAGATAAGGAAGAAAAAACAGCTATTCAAACAGACCATGCATGTATCGTTAGACTAATTTAAAAAGCTGACGATAAACCTCTTTAAATTCTCTTCCCTTTGTTAGCTCTTCCCCTTCCCCTAGCATACGCATTGTAGCATAATGGAAAGTAAGCACTGCTCTTTTTGATAAGGTAGGGTAATGCAGGAGCATACCAGCACCTTAACCCCTAAAAAAGGTTGGGTTCAGGCTCACAAACTAGTCCTTAAGCAAGCCTATAATTAGAGCATCAGACCTTTATTTGGCCTTTTAAACCTGTCCACTACCTATGCCAAGATTCAAACCAAACTCAAGCTCATACCAAAGCCCAATACCATAACGAAGACCAAACCCATAGCCAGGCCTATACTGCTCTCCAAACATATGTCCATATACCCATATCAATTTATATCCAAAACCATGCCTGACCCATACCAAGAACCTAGATGCATGACCAACTGACGCAGTATAATTTGAAAGTTAATACATACAAAGAATAAATGCATGTTGCATGAACCTTGTTTTGTAGTTGATGAAGGAGATCTTGGAAAGTGGTAGCATTAATTCAAAACTAGGAAAGTTGCAAACGTTTTTTTTTTAAAAAAAACTTGGTGTGCTACACAAACCGAGGGGTAGCACTCCCCAGAAAGTTGCAACGTTAACAAATGCAATGGAAAACTAGAATTGTAGTTTCCACATAGAATGTTTAGGAGGTAGTGATTTAGATTTAACGCTGCCTATCTTCTCTAGTAAGATAGCTTTGCCTATATAAAGAAAAGTACTTCTACCGGTGCAAATCGAGTTGGCCCGAATTAGCATTTTATACTATTCGGGCTCAGGACTTTGGGCCCATTCAAAATTTGACAAAAACCCTCCACCCAAATTGCACCCCCAATTACTTGTTCTCATCAAAGACTCAAAGAGAAGATTGAATTAATAGAACTGTATAGGAGTATTTTCAGTATCACCAAGCAATTCTGTACCTTGGTTGTATAAGTCTATCACTTCTTCAGAGGATGTGACTACTTCAACTAATTGGTGTGACTATTGCCCTTCCCCTAAATCCTACTCCATACCCGACCTTTCTCAGTTTGCAACCTGGGGTTTCTGACCAAGCTGCACCATAGCACAATAATCATGATAATTCGAAACATAATCCAAATAACGCAAGATCCTAAATTCCTAATACAACTCATGCAAATACCAGACAACAAGATGACATGGTAAAATAGAAGAATTGGTTTTGGAGCCATTTCACATTCCTACTCAAGGGCAAGATAAGCTAATGACACTTTTTCCCTTAAAATTTCCTTAGTTCCATGATGAGAAATTAACATTTCAAGAGTATCTTGTACAGATGTATAGGAGCTTCAATCATTATTGCAAATGAACTAATACTGAGCTACAACAAGATAGAAATGGTAGAACGTACCCCGCTAATCCTGATGATAGACTGTAAACCACGTCAACCACACAGTCAGTGCTCAGTGACAAGGGAAGATCCAAATTATATTCTGAGAAGCAAACCTTGGACGGTTTCTGCTTTCCAGTTCCGATGAGAGGGAGAGATGCCCCTTCTTCTGCAGATGGGAGCTTCCTCTTGCGTGTTGTATACTTGAAGTCAAGCAACCAGCTTCCTTGAAGTCACGAACCCAAGTGACAATAGCCTTCCAAAAGAGAACAGAGTCAACGGACGAAAAATTATCGCGAGTGCAAGACATGGGACCTGCCAGTTGTTCAAAACTAGAGCTCAAATTTCGGACCAATGGCTCGTAGCCACGTGGTAAAATGATAAATTTTCTAAATTATTAAAGGGGGGCTATGGCCTAATTCGTTGCGGGTTGTAACAGGGAGAAATTTCCATTGGCCGACTCGATTTAGGTAAAGTGTAAAACGGGCCTTGCATTACCAACCCGCGGGCTATGCCACCCTTTTCATAGGATAATTTAGGGATTGGCCCGGTATGGCTCACAGCCTAAGCCCGTGCGGGTCCGTATTATGTCATGCTGTGCCACGGGCTGGATTGGTTATCGGCCAAGTCTTGGCTCAGGTCAGGTTATAGAACGGGTCAAAGTTGGGCCAGGCCGCAAATAACACGGCCCGATTTATACCTTTAGATTTAGGTGGGATCTACATTTTTCATGGGTATCACAGAAATTGTTACCCTTCTCCAACTTGAAAAATTGGTTCTCCCAAGTGGAGAATAAATTCTCAAATTACAATCACGTAAAAACACCCATTAAACATTCTCTTAAAATAATTTAATCCAAAAAACATGGACTTGGGCCTAAAGGTAAAAAATGACAAAAGATGAAAAAAAAAACAATTACCCAGGAAAAGTGGGTGAAACCAAAGAACACGGAAAAGTTGAGAAGCCTTATTTATCTGGGTAAACTTAATAAAAAAGAATTAGGTAAGTGCAATTACCTGGGTAAATGACCTCTTCATAAATGGAGGCTTAAATGAAAAAAAAAAAAAATTGAAAATGTTTTCTTCAATTTAGACTTGTTTAGTCAGGTTGGCTTCGAATTTAGTCACTCCAATTCGATTGCAGCGTTATTTGTACAATAAATTTAAAATTTCATTCTTATATTAATTTATATTATTTTAAAAAATGAGAATGACTTGGGTTTAACCTAAATCCAATTTGAGTGCCACAAATTCAATTGGATTTCGGATCAAATTTGGGTTTTAACGTTTTTTAGTCGATTTGGATTTTTAGATTTTGCTGAATCCAATTTGATCGCATCCTTATTTATGTTAGTATAAAAGTAATTATTCATATAAAACTAATTAATTTTCCTTTTTAAATGAAATTGGACTATATCGAAGTCCGGTAAGATTCAAATACGACCCAAATATGTTAAGTAATACTAAACTTATTATTTATGATTGCAAAAATACTATTTTGAGAAATTAATAAATTAAATAATCTAATTTAGTTGAGTATCTTAATTTAATAGTATAGTTTGACTAAAAGGCATTTTGCAAAATAAATGATGTTGGGCTCAACTATGATAACAGAAAGATATTATATCCAAAAAATTTCTGACCAATCAATTGATATCATAAACATGATAGCCAATCATGTATAATTTATCATAGATTTTCCCTATATAGTTATATTTCTCAAGTAATTGCAAAAACAGTGAGATGGAGAATTTTTAAGTACTCATCCAAAAGACCTTCGTATTACCCCCCCTCTTATTTCTCACTCTCAATGTCTCTTTAACGCATTTCTCTTCTTGCAAATGTTGAATATGTGAATGGTGAGAGAGCAACGAAGACTTAAGCCCTACCCTATGATCAACGAATGGCTTTTGCGGAAAAACTGAACAAGGGTTCAAGTTCTTTACCTTTCGAACCACCTTTGCTAGGGCTACATGGAGCTTCAATTAGGTGAAGAACTGTGACTAATTAGTATTTCCCAATTTGCAACATGAATGAGCCTGGTTTGGTGGTAACCATACTCTCCATCCCGGACCCTAACTTTGAAACAAATCCACCATGGGTATGCCTATAAGTCTCTTAAAAGTGCCTTTGCTTTTACTACATTTGAGTGGGCATTGTACATCTGCAATGGCTGTTAACTAGATCCGAACTCCACTACAACGTATGCAAAACACCGGCATGTTCATTTGTGATTGGTCATGTAGTAGGCCATCACACAGTGTGCAAGCAACAGATCCGACCCGGGCTCATTACTTGGATATGAAAGACTTCATTATCTTTCTTTTAGAGATCGGTGCTTGTTATAAGTGATTACGTTGCCAAGACAGGCATTTTGTGGGATTGTATAACTCATTTAGCCAACTTGTATCCAAAATAGAGGGATAACAAATGAGAAACACCACGGCTGTGTTTTCCTTGACAAAATGTAAGAAACAGAAGTTGGGGGAAAATGATTAAGGAACTTCAGAAATTTTGTTAAGAACTTCCCTCAATTTTCTGCGCCTCTTATTTTCTATCAAACCAAACATAGCCTCCATAAAAAGAGCAAGTTTGATCGTCAACCAACAAGAGCGTAAAACAATCTGGCATTAGTAGTTTCTTCACCTCTAGGGCTTTCATGCAGCACCTTCTAGCATTACGAGATAGGCTCCACATGGAAAGCCATGAGAACTGTTTGGTGAAAAACCCAGAAAGCGCAAAAACGCTTACATTTAACTCAGAAATCTAGTTATTCTAAAGCTAATTTTGGTAGCTTCAAGCAGCTCAGTCAACACAGTGCAATCAACACTTGAGCCCACCCAAAGAAGCCCTAAAACATGAATAAATGTCTGCGGGTGAGCCATGCATAACCATTGTATTTGTACAATTGTACCCATCGCCAGAGGTTTCTAGTTCATAACAAGGTTATGAAGCAAAATACTCGGTAAGAAACACAATACCCAAATTCTTTTCTGGCAATTCATTTTTATTATTTTATGGAGGTAAAACTTAAAAGAGTGAAGTGTTTCCTTAATATACGTCCTACAAATGGCAAAATATATTAATAAACACCTCCGTGATGTAGAATGCTATTACCATAGAAAGAGCAAAATGTGCATGCTTTTGCTGAATGGTATACAGCCAAACTCGCAATCTGTTACCACAACTAAAGGTCATACCATCTGTCCTGGGCCTCAAAGTTTTAAGTCAGTTGTCCATGTACCTTGGACACTGGGGTGCTTGGTTACATGTCTGGTTTTCAGCTTGACCACTTTTCTTCCTAGGGCATTCCTTAGCCTGGTTGCATGTAGAAGTATGTCATCCGGGTTTAGATTCTTCACACATATCACCCGCTGATTCTTGTTCCCTGTTCGTTAAGCAACCAAAGAAAAGATCAGTAAAAGGGTAAATTCTACAAGTATCGCACAGCTAGAAGAAACAGAAGATAATGGATCATAGGTCTATTGGACCTTCCAATCTTCCATGAAACATAAAAGAAACACAACAGGTAAATATTTGTACCAATTCGTAGTACAATACACAGTTCCATGATTGGAGTGGTCCAACAAGATTTTGGAACAGCTTGATTTAAGAACTCACCTGCTATAGAAGATTTCTTCGTGAAGCTAATAATGGAATCTTTCTTCACTTAATCCTGTTCTTTTTTCATTGGCATTTGGTAGTATTTTGACTATTTTCTTTTCTTTGGCTCCAGAAGCTTTACTTGGTACAAAAGTTTTACGGATAGAGTTGGATATGAAAATTATACTAGAACTTTTAGTACCCACCAGGACATGACACCCTTGGATAGGTATCTTGGTATAATTGGTTTCCACTGGGCAGCTCCAACAGGAAAATTAAGATGATATTCAGACCAGCCTTATTCTCACCAGCCAAATTATGGAATCTTTCTTCACTTAATGTTGTTCTTTTTTCATTGATATTTGCGCCTTGTTTGTTTATAATTTTGTAACTTACCCAGGTAAGTGCACTTGGGTAACATTTACCCAGGTATGTTCACTTACCCATGTTCTTTTGATTCCTAGGTAAGTAATATAATTACTTTTTTATCCACAAAAAACTAATGTCAAAATGGGCAAACTTGTCCCATTATGTTTTATAAAATTTCCCCCAGGTGGGAAAGTTACTTATCCACCTAGGAGATGGGTAAGTTTTACCTGGGTAAATGAGGCTCCCTTTACCGTGGGGCCCAGTAGTTATTGCAAAAAGAACGCTGTAAAAGATTTTTAATTAGTGCTATGCATCTTCATTCCACAAGACCCCCCCTTTCAACTAGTGCTATGCATCTTCATTCTTTTTAATATAAAAGAATTTTATTAAACACAGAAAAAATAAGAAGTCTTCCCCCTTCCTCCTCATCCCTCTCCTCTTTCGCCTCCTTGTGCTTGGGAGGCTTACACCTCTTACATTCTGAACTATGTCTCACGCCTCTGTAGTGGAACGCCTCGTGTCACACCTCTGCATTTCAAAACATTGATTCTTGGATACAGCTAAAGAAATATGAGAACATGTGAGGAGATTGTATTCAGGCTATGACAACCTGACGAGAGTGTATCAACTCTAACAGGATTATTTTCTTTTTTTTTTTTTGATGAATGAAGAAATTTATTAATTCAGAAAAAAACAGTACAGGAAACACTGAAGAGGCATGAGCTGTTACCTCTTCAGAAAAGTATTACATCAAAGTAAAACAGAATTAACCATGAATAAAATTACAAAAGAGCCCAAAATAACTCTTAAACTAGGTGACAATAACATAGAAGACCACTAGTCCCCCCCTCCATATGGATCTGAAAATTATTGAAGTTGAGAGGCACTTTGTCAGAGAACGTATGACTGGATCTGTCTACCAAATGTTGGTTCAGATCAAGGTTCAAAATTTTGATATGATACAGGGCATATCATATCATATTGGGAGCTCTCTGATACCCTAAATAAGGGTCGTTTGGGATCTTGAGCACTTTCAGGGGGTAGGCATGCTTAAACAAACTAAAAAAATAAAAGAAGTTATTAAGTATTGAAAAACCCGATACACCTGTTTGTGTGTATTGACTGTATCGATTCTTTGAACCTTAGTTCAGGATGACAGCTAGCCGATGTGTTCAGCAAGGGTGTCAATAGAGCTAGGTACGATCATCGTATAAGAAAGCTGAGCATTTACATTACTGCTGCCTACTTAATGGAATTCTTGTTATTTTATAGTTGTAATTATTCTTGTTCAAAAAATCATTTAAGCAAAAGGAAGCACAATCCCTAAGACAGTTTTTCCCTTCTTTCATTTAGTTTTCTTCCCTTCTCTCTTTCTACTCAGTTTCCATCATTCTTGATTAGACAAAAAAAGAAATAGGTAATCAAAAGAAATGATCAATAGTTAAGTAACAAATAAATAGAGAACAAATTTAAGAATTGCATTCACAGAATTCAAACTAATTTCTAGAAAACATTTCAGTTGAAATTTCATATGAAATTATGAAGTGCACAATCAATGCAAGCTTTTTACCAACCAGCTGGTTGGCACCAGCTGGGGGCGGAGGAGTTAGTCTCAGACTTTGAGTCATCCTCAAACAAGCTTTTGGTTAGCAGTAACCTGTGTTGAATGAACCCTAACAGGTAACAACTGAGAAGACAATAAAATTATTCACTCTTTAAGTATACATTTATATCAATTCAATGAATCAGTTTTTTATTTTGATAATTAGTGAATCGGCTATATGTTAATATTGTTAACAAACTTTAAGAATTATTAAAGTTAAAACAAGTTGCCCACTTAGCCCTTTTATACACCTAGGTGCCTGTGGCGCCTTCAGTAAATTATTCATGGCAACTAGGTAGGACATCCATTGGAAAGCATTTAGTCACCTAGGCATCACCTTGACAACAATGCAGGTCAGTTAGGGAAGCTCCCATGACAACCCCACCTATTTTTCCTGTACCCAATTCAATTCCATCAAATAAGGGACCCTCTGGTTTAGCCACATATTCATTCAATAATTCTCATCAACTATAGCTAACCCTCTTGTATTGGATTCTTCCTCTAAGTGATAAAAAACACTCCTAAGTTTCAACATATGGTTTATTTTAGCCAGATGGCAAGAGGTTTAAGCTGAACGGGAGGGTGGAAAGAGACAGAGAGAAAGAGAAAGAGAATCTTACGGTAAAAGCCCTTCAAATGTGGATGTTGACCACGGATGACTTCAGCAACCACCTCTAGCTGAGGATTATTTTCTTTAAATGCTGGCAAATAAGACTCCATAAATGCCCTGTCATATCCAATATCATACTATTGTCAGAAATTTCTTAGACACATGAAAGTCAACCAATCTGTTATCAGAAATTTCCACGACCCACAGGAAGGTTTGGGTTTTGGAAGTTCATAAAACCTTGAAAAATCAAACAAATTACAACATTCACAATATGCTAATACTTAATAAACTATCTGTCTTAATCTGAAAAGGAACGACTAAAATACAGAAATGAATTAGCAAAATGGTAGAGCTGTTAATAACATACTTCAGCACTGTCAAACAAAAAGAGTTGAACCATGGATGACTTAATGTTAAAATTCATTCTTTTATGGAGCATGTACCAGGAGAAGACAGTTGTTCTGTGCAAGAACTATGATTTAGTTTTAAGGGGTGTTTCGGTCATTCTGTAAAAGGGGAGCCAAGCACATTGTGAATACCAATTCTTTTATTCAAGTTCAGTAAAATTTAAGTTTATCCATCCAAAAAATGTACCAGAAGGAGGCATGGAAGGGGAAGGATTCTTGCTGGAAACCAAGTGGAGGAGATTGTTCTAACATAGGGTGAAGAGGTTCATACTTGAAGAAATGTCAAGCAGCAGTGGACTGATTTTGAAGATAAGGGAAGCAGCTAGAAGGAACCATTCTAGCTTGATAAAGTTCAGACCTGCACTAGAATTCTGTTAGAATTAGAGAAAGATTAGAGGAGATAGAAGAGAGAAGAAGAGAAGAAAGGAGAAGGAGAAAACTGGTTCAAACAAGAGAGAAAAGTCACTCTCTAGTCGGCCAGGTAATATTTATATGTTTCTATTAAATAAAGCAAAAGGCTATTATGTCCCTACTTAAGTATGGGACACATCACTTAACATAAACATTACACATCAGCATAAACATAAATATAAGGACTAAACTACCCTTATACAGTCGACACTAACACTCCCCCTCAAGCTGGTGAGCAAATATCATAAAGTCCCAACTTGGTACATATGTAATCCACTCTTCCTCGACTCAACCCTTTGGTGAACAAGTCTGCCCATTGACTTCTTGTGTTAACATATGCAGTATCTGTCACTCCACTAAGCACCTTCTCTCTCACAAAGTGATAGTCAACTTCTATATGCTTTGTTCTCTCATGAAACAATAGATTAAAAGAGATGTAGACTGCAACTTGGTTGTCACAATAAAGTTTCATTGGAGTGCCAATCGAATATCCCATCTCTTGTAGAAGATTTATCAACCACACTAGTTCACAAGTGGTATGTGCCATGGCTTTGTATCCAGCTTCTGCACTGCTTCTTGCCACATCTGTATGTTTCTTACTTTTCCATCTCACCAAATTACCCCCAAGAAAAGTACAATAACTTGTAGTGGACCTTCTGCCAGATACAGAACCAGCCCAATCAGCATCGTTGTATCCCTTTATTTCAAGATTTCCTCCACTCTTGTATATCAAGCCACGACCAGGAGCTCCCTTCAAATACCTTACAATCCTTAGAACTGCATCCCAATGTGGAACTCGAGGTTTCTGCATAAACTAACTCACCACACTAACTGCAAATGAAATATCTGGCCGAGTAATGGTTAGGTAGTTTAGCTTACCCACCAACTACTTGTACCTTCCAAGATCTTCAAACTCCTCACCCATATCACTACTAGGTATTTGGTTCCATAGGTGTTCCAGTCAAGATGGCACCTAAAAATCCCATCTCCTCCAACAAATCAAGAACATACTTCCTTTGGCACAAATTAATACCGTGCTTAGACCTTGTTACTTCTATCTCCAAGAAATATTTTAATTTACCAAGGTCCTTTGTTTGAAAATGCTCCTACAGAAAGGCCTTCAGCCTATCAATCCTCAATTTATCACTGCCAGCAATGACAATATCATCTACATATACCACCAATAAGATCTTCCTAACATGTGAATCATGGTTGAATACTGAGTGATCAACCTGACACTGTTTCATACCAAACTTCTTTATCACTTCATTGAATCTACCAAACCACACACGGGGGGACTGTTTAAGTCCATAAATGGCCTTCTTTAGTATGCAAATCTTACCATCCTTCCCCGGAGCAACAAACCCTGGTGGTTGCTCCATACAAACCTCCTCAAGGAGATCACCATGTAAAAAAGCATTCTTGATGTCAAGTTGAAACAGAGGCCAATCATACATAGCAGCTAGAGATATCAAAACACGTATGGAACCAATTTTAGCAACAAGAGAGAAGGCCTTTGTGTAGTCAATACCACATGTTTGGGAATAGCCTTTGGCAACCACTCGAGTTTTCAGTCGCTCTACACTACCATCAGGTAAATACTTAACCGTGTATACCCACTTACAACCCACAACATGCTTACCAGGAGGGAATGTGGTGAAGTCCCACGTGTGATTATGAGCCAAAGCTGAGAGTTCTTCTATTGCATGGAGAGCCACCTTGGAGAGGCAAGGGCTTCTTGGACATCCATAGGAACCGAAATAGAAGACAAAACAGAAACAAATTGACGATGGTAAGTAGAAAGGTGAGATACAGAAACATAGTTGGAAATGGAATGAAGTGTACAATTGTGTTTACCTTTCTACAAGGCAAGAAGAAGATCAAGGTCAGAAACAGGAGGTGGAATCGGCGGGGGGTCAATTGTTGGATCTGTCGACGATGAAGAAGCTGGAGGAGTTGGTACATGTCGTCGATGCGTATACACTTGGCGGATGGGTGGTCGTTCAACAGGAAGTTCACTGGAGGCGAAGACTTAGTCACAATCGGAACAAGTGGGATGGGGTCCTCAATAGGAACTAGAAGAGGAGGTGAGGAAAAAAAAGAGACATCACCGGACCCAGAAAAAATACGGAACAGATTCAAAGAAAGTAACTTCAAAGCACACGTTGCACTGGAGACGAAGACTTAGTCACAACCGGAACAAGTGGGATGGGGTCCTCAACAGGAACTAGAAGAGGAGGAGGTGAGGAAGAAGAAAAGACATCACCAGACCCAGAAAAAATACGGAACAGATTCAAATAAAGTAACTTCAAAGCACACGTTGCACTGGAGGCGAAGACTTAGTCACAACCGGAACAAGTGGGATGGGGTCCTCAACAGGAATTAGAAGAGGAGGAGGTGAGGAAGAAGAAGAGACATCACCGGACCCAGAAAAAATACGGAACAGATTCAAAGAAAGTAACTTCAAGGCACACAAAAGAACAAGAACTAGGATTATAACACTTATACCCTTTCTGGGTCCGGGAATAGCCAAAGAAGATACACTTGGTGGATAGTGCATCTAATTTGTCCACTCTAGGTCCAAGATTATGAACAAAACATACACACCCAAAAACACTGGGAGCAAGGGAAAAAGGAGAAGGTATGAAACAAAGTGGTGAAAGGAGAATGACCTTCAAGGATGGGTGTGGGCATCCGGTTAATGAGGAAACAAGTCGTAAGCACAACATCACTCCAAAAACATTTGGGTACATTCATATGATGCAAAGGGGACCGAGCAGTTTCCAAAAGATGGTTGTTCTTTCTCTCAACCACCCCATTTTGTTGAGGTGTATAGGGACATGAGGTTTGATGGATAATGCCATATTGTTCCAAATACTCTTGAAACGGTGTATAAAAGTATTTGCGGTCATTATCAGAACGAAGAATCTTAATGTGTACACCAAATTGGCTACGAATTTAAGTATAAAATTTTTGGAAGATGGAAAACAATTCACTCATTTTTTCCATTATGTAAAGCCACGCCATCCTTGAATAATCATCAACAAAAATAACAAAGTATTTGCAACCATTGTATGACACTATTTTATTTAGACCCCAAATATTTGAATGAACTAAAGAAAAAGGACTCGACATACGATTATCAACCCTAGGACTAAAGAAACACAATGAAAACAAAAAAATGACTCAACAATGGGGTAAGTGATTTTGGTGCTTTAAGTGATGGATGACCAAGCCTACAGTGCCACTGAAGAGGAGAAAGAGATGTCTGAAGAGTTGTTGATGAAACACCACCACCATCAAGATAATACAGTCTACCAGCTTCATGTCCTCCAACAATCTTCATCCCTGTCTTAGGATCCTGAAAAACACAAGAAGAGGGGTAAAAGGTAATGGAGCAATTAAGAGACTTGATTAGCTCACTAACAAATATAAGATTAAAAGGGAATTTGGGAACATACAAAACTGAGGACAGGAATAAATGGTCTATGTCAACATCACCAACACCACAAATGGAGGATGTGGAACCATAAGCAAGGGTAACAAAATGTAATGTGGAGCACTGTAAAAGGGAGGAAAACACACCTGGAGTCCTAGTCATATGATTAGAAGCTCTAGAGTCGATAATCCAAGAGGTGGGTTTGGATGAGAGACAAGTCATACCTAAATGTGCGAGAGTAGTTGTTTTCTGTTGAGAGGTGGCCTGGATAAACCGCTCATACTCATCACGTAGGACACTCATCATCTCCTTAGCAAAGACATCCGTAGATGTAGAGGGCATCATATCAACTTGTTAGATATCCTGTATTGAACTACCATCACTGGCCACTACATGATTTGCCCAAGTTGAAGGTGGGCCATGCAAATCATAACAAAAGTTAATGGTGTTCCCTTCCATACCACAATGTGTACACCTCAAACCATTACTACGTCCTCTGCCACAAGCTCCCCTGAATCTTGACCTCCAATACATCCACCACCACGACTATACATGGGTCCACCACCACCACTACAACCATACATGGATCCACTGCTACCACTACGACCGGGCTGAATCCCCTAAGCTCCACCTCTAACACCACGGCCTCCCCCTCTCATCACTACAAAGACAGACCCGTCAGAGATATTAGAATTCTCTGTGGGCCCAACAGAAATCCTTCGAAGACGAGCAAACACCTCTTCTAGAGACAGAAGAGCTGACCCTCCTAGTATTTGTGCTCTCACTGGTTCATATTCAGATTTCAGCCCTACTAAAAATCTGGTCGCATCTAGTTGTTCTCTTTGTTGTTGCTGAATCTT